ACCACTCCCCCCGGAAGTCCCGCCCCACCTCCCGGAAGCCCCGCCCTCAGGCCCGCCCCGCCGCCGCTGCCTCCCTCAGCCAGCGCAGCAGCTGCGGCGTGAAGTAGGTGATGATGGCGTCGGCCCCTGCGGAGAGACGAGAGGCTGGAGCCGACCCCGGGACAGACACACACACACACACCCCGGACCGGGGTGGGGGTCAGGAGCAGGCCCCAGGGGCCGCCCCGGCCTCACCTGCGCGCCTGAAGGCCGTCACCGCCTCCATGACGGCCGCCTGCAGGCTGAAGGCCCCGGCCTGGGCCCCGTGCCACAGCATGGCGAACTCCCCCGAGACGTGGTACACGGCCAGCGGGTGCGTGGGGTGCTGAGGGGAGCGGAGGACAGGGAGGTCAGACACCCCTCCCTGCCTCCAGCGTCCCCCGCTGCCCCACTGCCCACCCCCAAGGCCCAAAAGCAACAGTCCCAGCCTCTCCGGTTTGGGGATCCCCCCCACACGCACGCCTCTCCTCGCCCTCCTCCTCCAGGGACACCCCGTGCCCTCATGGCCCTGCAGAAAGAGCTTACTCGGGCCTTGACGTCCCTCACAAGGTCCAGGTAGGGCATCCCCGGCTTCACCATCAGCATGTCCGCTCCCTCACGCACGTCCCGGTCCTGAGAAGGGAGCACACACATAACCCCCCCAGATAGAACATTTTCCAGCCAGTCCACGGTTGGTTTTCCCCAGACGTTTTGACCTGGGAGTTGCTTGTCCCAGGAGGGATGACGGAAGGGTTTGGTGAGCCCCAAATGCCCCAGGAGCCGCCGGCTGGGCTGCGATGGGGGAGAGGTGTGCTCCCCTCACCACACATGGGGCCTGGGGAAAGCTGGTGGCTGCGTGTCCCTAGCCCTGACACCCCCGAGCCACAGCGGGGTGTGGGGGCACCAACTCCGGGGAGGCTGCGATGGGGGAGAGGTGTGCTCCCCTCACCACACACAGGGCCTGGGGAAAGCTGGTGGCTGCGTGTCCCTGGACCTGACACCCCAAGCCACAGCGGGGTGTGGGGGCCCCAACTCCAGAGCCCTCAGGGACGGGGACCTCAGGGATGATGGGCCTCGTGTTTCTCTTGCTTGTGCAGGGGGAAGACCCTTGACCCTTTCGACTCCAACACCCCTGGGCTTTCTCTCCCCAAACCCTGCTGCACTGCTGGGGGTGAAGGCTTGTTGCCTGGGCACCCCGTGAGGGTTTTTCCAGTCCCCACAGCCAAAAGCCCATGCCCCAGCTCACTCACCACGGCACGCACGGCCAGGCCCCTGGCACCCGGGGGCAGCTGGTAGCATCGCCTGTCTCCAAAAGCAGGTTTGGATAGTGCAGCATCCCTGGGGACAGGCAAGGCAGAGGGCAGGGGATGAGGACCAGCACCGCTCCCCGTGCCTCGTACAGCTTCAGAAACAGGAGAACAGACTAGGACAAGGGCCTGAGCCACCAAGTCAAGGAAAGGGGAGGCCTCTCTGAACCTGATTCAGCCCCCGATGTCACTCTGGGAGGCCCAGGCTGAAGAGCCATGGGAGCCATGGTTCAACATCTGGTGTCCTCCCCATGCCCAGAGTTTGGGGTAAAATTGTGTCAGACGTTTTCCTTTTGCCCTTTTTTCCATGGCAGGTCCCTCAGGGATGCCCTGTCGGGGCCAGGCCGTTCTTAGGATGAGGTCTACGAGCTGACTGAGCTGAGGCTTGTCCCTAAAGCCACCCTTTGGGGCAAAACCAGCTCTCATGACGCCCCTCCTAACTGCTCCTGGTAGCTCCCTCCCTGCCTGCCTGGCCACCAGCACCCAGGACAAGCAGGTGAAGAGGTGGGATGGAGGATCACCCAGGTGGTCTTCCCACCAGCCAGCCTCTCCTGGGCAAGGTACATCTGTCTCCCATTTGTGCTGGGAAAGAGGAGGAGAGTGCTCCACATTGACCAGTGTGGCCCCAGTCGTGGCCCAGGCTCTGGCTGATCCCCCTTCCCAAACATCTATCCGGGGACACACCTCCTGGAGCCGTCTGGGGACACTCCCAGCTGAGGGACAGACCCACCTGAAGGGACCATAGAAGCACGAAGCAAACTTGGCGCTGTAGCTCATCACTGAGACCTGCAGAGGAGAGTGGAGCCATGAGGCCCAGAAGCTCGGGGCTGCATCCTGGCACTGGGGCAGTGGTGATTCCCCCCCCCACGGCTGTTTTATACTCTGCCCCACATCCTCCTGCCCCTGCCACAGGCCTGGCGCCTTGCTGTCCAAGGACATTCCCTTCCTGTGTGCGCAGGGGCAGGGAAATGCCCGTGGCACGTCCTGGGCGATGTGGGGATTTGCTTCTCCCACCGTTTGCCCAGGTCCTGTCCTGCAGCCTCCCCGTGGACGTCGCTCCTGCCTTTGGCACGTGCAGATCCCGAGCTCACCTTGTTGCCCAAGTCGTTGGAGATCAGCGCCTTCTTCATGGCCGCGATGCGCCCGTCCATCATATCCGAGGGGGCAACGATGTGGCAGCCTGTGGGGAAGGACCCAGAGATGCCATGAAGTGCCCGAGGCTGGGACTCTGCCTGCAGGAGGAGGTGACCCCAGGGACAGAGAGGACCCGGGTGGCTGTGGCTCTGCCAGGGCCAGCTCGGAGCAAAAGCCTCCCCAGCCAGAGCCAAGCCCAGTTTGCTTTTGGGCCTGCTGGAAGTGAGAGGGGGCGAGCCCACGAGTCAGGCTCAGGTACCGACACCTGGAGACTGCCCACCTGCTTTGGCGTAGGCCAGGGCCACCTCTGCCAGCCGCTGGCAGCTGAGCTCGTTCTGGATGGTGCCATCGTCACGCAGGATGCCTAGGAGACAAACCCGGGGTCAGAATCGGTTGCCTCCATCCCTGGGGTGGCTCGTGCTACACAGATGCTCACAGCAACAGCGGGGAGTGTGTTAAGAGAGCTGGGAGAGAACCAGGAGACCAACGACACAGCTCTCCAGGACTGGACACAACACGTGGGTGCTCCAGGGAAGGGCAGTGATGGGGGACACAGAAGAGTGCTCAGACAAATTCAGATGGCCAGGGAGTGCCTTAACTACCCGTACCTCCCACCCTGCTGTCAAAACCAGGTTCCTCAGGCTCAACTGCACCAGTACTGGGGAGGCAAATCGTGGGGCAGGAGCTGGTCAGGTCCTACTAGCACCCAGAGCTCCTCAGCCAAAACCACCAGCGACTCCTGGTGCCAGGAAACTGCCCAAATACCAGCCCAGCACCCCAGGCTGTGCACCCACCGCAGTGCCCATGGGAGGTGTAAGGGCACAAGCAGACGTCGCAGGCGATGAGCAGCTCTGGGAAGGTGGAACGGATCTTCTTGATGGCCTGGATGGCAGGTGTGTCCTCTGCATCAGCAGCAGAGCCTCTCTCGTCCTGTGAGAAGAGAACTGCCTCAGCAGGCAGAGCCGAGGGGCTCCCACCACCTCCTGCCGGACAGCAATTCTGCCCAGGTCACATTTTCTGGGCTTTGAGACCCTGTAACGCAGGGTGGTGTGACCATCAACGATGGACAAGGGCAATATAGTGCCTCTGAGCAGCAAGTGCAGGTCTCAGGGCCACCCACAAGAGCTCTGGGACCTTTTTGGGTGTCACTACAGTCTCTTATCCCTGTCCTGCTCTGCTGAGGGGCTGCAAGCGCACCAGGGACCCTGAACTGCTGCTGTTTGATCAGGAGACACCCCTGGCTCCACACTGCTCTCCCGCACCCCCACGGCTGCCCTCTGCCACCACCACACACACTGACCTTGTGGACCTTGCTGGGCACCCCAAAGATGAGCACACACTTCAGACCGTCCTCGACGAGGGGACGCAGCATCCCCTCCAGCTTGTTGACTCCATACCTGAGAGGAGCAAAGCAAAGGGGGCTGCCAGGTACCCAGACCTGCTCCGTGGGGCGAGCTGGTCTGTGACCTGGGTGCTGGGCTGTGAGCAACCCAGCATCCACAAGCATCCACGCCAAGCAGCAGCTGATGATGTTGCCTGAACGCTGGGAGGAACAATCCAGGACCTTATCTGGGACTACATGAGCGTTATCTGCTCAGCATGGACACTCTCTGCTCTGAAAGGAGGAGTGTGCCCTGCCCTGGGATCCCTTATCTCAGCTTCCCCATTGCAGATCCATCCCACCTCCCCGGGGGACCATCCCCCTGGGGCCTCTCTGACCACAGTCCTGCTAACGTGGCAGCAGAGGCAGATGGGACCTTGCCAGTCCAGCAGGATCTAATGTAGGACCAGAGCCTGTGCCCTTGCACGGGTTTTCCAGCTTCTTCTGGAAGCACTCACTTCCAATTTCCCTGCGTGACCTGCTCACATATTGAACGAGTGCTCTGGGACATCCTGAGACCCTGGCACTATCCCCACCAGTGCCTGTACCTTCCCAGCATCCCCAGTGTGATTCACAGAATCACAGAATCTTCTAGGTTGGAAGGGACCTTAAAGATCATCTTGTCCAACTGTCAACCCAACTGACAAAAATAGACACCCACACAACAAACAAGGAGCATCATCACTAAACCAGACCTCCCAGCACTACATCAACCCGGCTTTTGAACACCTCCAGGGATGGGGCCTCAACCACCTCCCTGGGCAGCCCATTCCAATGCCTGAGAACCCTTTCCGTGAAAAAATTTTTCCTAATATCCAGCCTGAACCTCCCCTGGTGCAACTTGAGGCCATTTCCTCTTATCCTGTCGCCTGTGACTTGGGAGAAGAGACCGACCCCCACCTCTCTACACCCTCCTTTCAGGGAGTTGGAGAGAGCAATAAGGTCTCCCCTCAGCCTCCTCTTCTCCAGGCTGAATAACCCCAGTTCCCTCAGCCTCTCCTCATAAGACTTATTCTCCAGACTTATTCCCTCCACTTCCACGGTGGGTGGGTGAATGCTCCCGCCCTGCCTGATCCTGGGGGATCGCCCAAGAAGGGACCACAGAGGTTGGAAGCGTCACCCCTGGCCCACACTCAGAACGTTGCTCGTGTCCCGGGCACGGCAGCGACGGGCACGCAGCTCAGTGGGGCTGGCTCCTTACCTGGCTTGTCCAGGGAGGCTGGGGATCTGCTCCACTGCATCAGGGCTGTCACTGCAGGAGATGGTCAAGGACAGAGATGAGAGGACTTGGCATGAGATGGAAGCCCCATTCCCCACATTCATCCACAGGGAATCTTCTGGGAAGTTGGAACCTGTCTAAAAGCTCAGGGAACACCTCATAGAATCATAGAATCACAGAATTGCCCAGGCCGGAAGGGACCTCCAAAGGCCATCTAGTCCGACCCCCCCGCAGTCAGCAGGGACACCCCCAACTAGACCAGGTTGCCCAGGGCCTCATCGAGCCTCTCCTTGAATATCTCCAGGGATGGGGCCTCAACCACCTCCCTGGGCAACCTGTTCCAGTGCTCCACCACCCTCACAGTGAAGAACCCTCTCCTCATCTCCAATCTAAATCTGTTCACCTAAGCCAGTCAACCTGAGCTCGGTCCATCCCTAACCCAGAGAGCCAGGGCGCACTCACGTGACAAAAATGGGGTAGATGAGGTTGGAGGCATCGAAGGTGGTCGCCGTACACTGCCAGGAACGAAGCACTGGGTGGAAGTAGCCGCTGTGAAGAATGGAGTCTGCCTGCATCTTGGGTCTTCTGTGTGGAAGGAGACTCTGAAACACCAGAAGAAACCGGTGGGCTAGTTAGTGGTGTCCTGGTAAGCCATGGCTGTGGGTGTGGGCGAGGAGGGGGCTGAGACCCTGCAGCCACTGCAGGACCATCCCTGTCCCGCTCCGGGCACACCGGGGAGCCTGAGCTGCAGCCCGGCCAGCTTCAGCCCCCACACCAACTGGGGGGTGCGGGACCCCGCATCAGCAGGGTAACAGGGCTGGTGCCGACTCCTCCCCACAAAACCTCCCAATTCTGTGTGTGAAACCACCAATTTACAGCCACCACCGACCTCCTGCAGCAGAACCACATTCTTGTGGGTCAACACCACCCTCCTCCCCGGGCTCCGTCTCTTTTAGCTCAGGTAACTGTGCAGGCAGTTTTCTGATGATTGCTCAATGCATTTTAGTTTTGCTTAACGCTGTCTAATTGCCTGGTGCAGCTTTTGTGTACAGAGTAGTCGAAAGCTGCTCTGAGTAGCACGAAGTATTTGTGGCCACAGCGTAAGGGTGCAGCTGAGGAAGAGTATGGGCACTGGATGGATCATCCTGAAGGTACCAGAGCTGTGAAGGCCATGGGCACACACCTCCGGTGGCCACTTAACTGCTGGATAAAGAAAACGTGGGAGTTCACAGAATCATGGAATAGCTTAGGTTGGAAGGGACCTTAAAGATCATCCAGTGCCACCCCCTGCCCTGGGCAGAGACACCTCCCACCAGCCCAGGTTGCTCCAAGCCCCCTCCAACCTGGCCTTGAACCCCTCCAGGGATGGGGCAGCCACAGCTTCTCTGGGCAACCTGGGCCAGGCTCTCACCACCCTCACACCAAAGAATTTTTTCCTAATTGGGACCAGTTTCTTCCTAGTTGGGCAGACCAGATGTCAGGGGTAACAAGGAGCAATTACTGGATGCACACCCAGTGGGTGTTAGGGCTGTGTTGCTGCTGCAGCTTTTTCTGTAGCAATATTTTCTTCTTACGTAACAGCGAGATCTAGTAACAGTTCTGCGATTACACCATTAACATTTAAATTTCCACTTGCCCTAAATTCTCCCCAATGTGTGGCTGGTGGGATGGAAGGGGCCGGGGGAAGGCGGCTGCTGCGGGATGGGGCATTTGGCTGCTGCACAGACGGGAGCAGGAGCCACAGCCTGAACAAGGAACTGTTTGTACAGAGCAGCTTCAAGGACTTCTGCTGGTGGCACAGACAGGGCCACATCCCGCAAACACCCCGCACAGAGGAGCCGGGGGTGCCCTAGGAAACAGCAAAGTCCCTCCTGGGCACCACAGATTTTGTTTTGAGAGCTGGAATCATAGGGAAGCAGCCAGGAGAAGAGCTGGAGATGGAGCTTCCTAAAGAGCAAGTGGGATTCCTCCGCTGGCATCCCCGGGCAGGGCAACCCATGAGAGACAGAGAGGACACGAGGATGGGACCCATCTTGGGGGAGGACCCCCCCACGGTCCCCAGTCCCATCCCAGGAGGGATTTCCTAGCAATAAACCTCATTTCCCCAGGAATAAACCTCGCTTCCCCGGCTCCCCCCAGAGCCAGACCCGGCTCACACAGCGCCCCGGGACGCAGGGCAGGGGAGGTCCCCAGTCCCATCCCAGGAGGGATTTCCTAGCAATAAACCTCATTTCCCCAGGAATAAACCTCGCTTCCCCGGCTCCCCCCGGAGCCAGACCCGGCTCCCCCAGCACCCCGGGACACAGGGCAGAGCAGGAAGTTTTACACCAGCCCTTGCGACAGCACTCAGAAACGGAGCTGGGCAGGAGACACCCCCATTCTTCTGGAAAACCTTGAATTTGAGGCGTTCACCAATTTTACACGCTCAAGACCCTTCAGATTGAGGCGTTCACCAATTTTACACGCTCAAGACACTTCAGATGTCTCAGGAGGTGATTCCCCTCTACTCTGCACTCCTGAGACCCCACCTGGAGCACTGTGTCCAGCTCTGGAGTCCTCAGCACAGAAAGGACATGGACCGGCTGGAACGGGGGCAGCAGAGGGCCATGAAGATGCTCAGAGGGATGGAGCACCTCTCCTATGGAGACAGGCTGAGGGAGCTGGGATTGTTCAGCCTGGAGAAGAGAAGGTTCCGGGGAGACCTTATAGCGGCCTTTCAATACCTGAAGGGGGCCTATAGAAGAGCTGGGGAGGGACTCTTTGCCAGGAGGGGTAATGATAGGACAAGGGGAAACGGTTTTAAATTGGAAGAAAAAAGATTCAGATTAGGTATCAGGAAGAAATTTTTTACTATGAGGGTGGTGAGACACTGGAACAGGTTGCCCAGGGAAGTTGTGGCTGCCCCATCCCTGGAGGGGTTCAAGGCCAGGCTGGATGGGGCCTTGAGCAACCTGCTCTGGTGGGAGGTGTCCCTGCTCAGGGCAGGGGGTTGGAACTCAATGATCTTTGAGGTCCCTTCCAACCCAAACCATTCTGTGATTCTATGACTCTATGTTTTAATGCTGAGCCAAGTTCTCAGTCTGTATCAGGCCACCCCAGTGCAAGGGGCACTTGTAATACAGGGGCATTGCGTCCCGTCCAGGAGCCTTGCATTCCCAGCACCTACCTCTGCTTGGGGGTGGGGAAAATGGCACCTTTCAGATTCTTACAAGCTTACGTGTGTTAAAACACTCTATAAAAAAATCAGAGGGTGTTTGTGGGAGATGCAGCCCAGCTGCCGGGCAGGCTGGCAGTGTCACAGTGTCACTTGGCAAGTCATTTTTAGCCCTGGAAAGCTGTCGCTCCAGTCCTTACTGGCAGGGAAGGGGACAGCCCTCGGGTGAACTGGAGTTGGCGGCCCCAGCACAGTGGCTGGGCTCCAGACTGGGCTCCAGTGGGTTCTGGGCTGGGATCCAGTGGGCTCCAGACTGGGCTCCAGACAGGCAATGATCAGGAACAAAAGGCTCAGTGAACAAAACCCATCTCGAGAATCCAAAAAATGTGTTCAGCAGTTAATCCCAGAGGAGGAAGGGGAGGGGGGCCGGGGTGGGACCAGAGACACCTGGCGCTGTGTGGGACAGATAGAGGCCACAGCTCCAGAGACTGCCCTCCCCGGGGCAGGAGCAGCGGGCACCCGGGGGGGTTGCAGAGCGGAGATAAGGGCCGGGAGGGGTGGGCCCCGGCACAGCACTGCCTGCCGGGCAACCGGGGCCTCCTCACGAGCCCCACGTGCGGGAGAAGCTGCCACAAGCCCAGGGCCACAGGCTCCCCCGGCCCACACAGGGCACCCAGTGGGACAAGGACACTGGGGTGTCACGGCTGCAGAGCCACCCTGCGCCCCACAGCTGCCCCATGGCAAGGATGCAGAGCAAGGACAGCGAGTGCGATGATAAGGGGACATTGGACCACATAAGTTACAACCTAAAACAGGGCTGTTTCCCCCCCTGAAACCCCTTTGGGGCTCCCAGCAGAGCACATGTGCCTCGTTCTCCAACATTAAAGGCCCAAATCTCTGTTTTTAAATCATGGAATCAGGGAATTGTCAGAGTTGGAAGGGACCTCTAGAGCCCATCCAGCCCAACTCCCCGGCCAAAGCAGGGCTGCCCAGAGCACAGCACTCAGGAGCATCCAGGTGGGGCTTGAAGATCTCCAGAGAAGGGGACTCCACACCCTCCCTGGGCAGCCTCTGCCAGGGCTCTGCCACCCTCACCCCAAACAA